TTTACCAATTCTAAATTTAAGAGGATTCAAGATGTACATACAAGAATTTCAACTAAATCATTAGACCTCATTGCAACTTGATATGGATTGTTTAACTTCGGCATATTAATATTATTTCTCCTCAGATTGTTCACGCTTCAATACGTCTAAATATAGCATACTAGTTTTCGATTCTATTAAATGTATAAAATATAGTATTTAGAACACATGAACCTTAAACATAGGAATCTCACAATCTAATACACATTTCAAAATACAATTAGGATAAAGGTGGTCTGCTGAGACATATAAACTTTCATAAAAAAGCTTGCGATCTAAGGAAAAAATGTTAACCAAGATGCATACACATTAAGACATGTAGACTTAGAGGTCTGAAGGTTAGACGTTCCTTGTGAGACCTGAAAGTCCTCGGTTCGATCTCTGGTGGTATCAAGCATGTGTACTGCAGATAAGTCTAATATACTAAGACGAAATAACAGAATACAACTTGGATATTAGATAAACGATACTTCATACAGGATCTAGTCAAATGTCCGTTTCCGCTGTGGTATATAAACACAAACATGTTTTATTCACTATAAACATTTTGTCCGTAATAACACTGATTATTAGAATATCTGTTATTTTCCATATAAAGTCCTCAAACTAACATCTTTTTAGAATGAACTATTGAACCAAAAATTATGAGTAGTTAAATGAATGAATAGTCAAGACTAAGTTGAAACTTTTCACTATTAAGTTCACATCAAAATCTCATTCTTTGGAAAGTTCCAAAATATTTGTCTTTTTTAATAAGTAGATTACTGTTGAATTATTAAATTCCGTTGGTGGGATGTGTATTATTGCTAAAGGGATTTCAAAAGTTGTAAAACTGAATCCTACCAATTGTGATTAAATTATTTAAACATTAATCTATTTAAGCGGATATCTGAATGCATTCCAAAAAGAAATCAATAATCAGAACTAGGTATAATGGCAAGGCATTAATCCAGTGCTGTTCAACAATACAACAAATATTTAAAGCATCGGTATGGGGTTGTGGAGATTGTTGAGTTTTAACTAATATCATGAATACCTTTGGATGCCGGTTCAGCGGTCTAGCGGTTAAGCATTCTCACAAGACCGAAGGTCCTGGTTTAAAGTCCTGCGTGAGGGATCGTGGATGTGCACTGCCGAGGAGCCCCACACTAGGACGAAACGTCCATTCAGTGCTCCCAGGTTTTCAATGGTGGTCTAACACTGATCAGTTCATGATCTCAATTGAAATGATGAGAGCCTAAAATACTGAGTGGAACTTAAAATAAAATTTTCATTTAGTAGGAAAACGTATTTATTATTTAATTAGTCAGGTGAATTCCCAGAACTGAATCATTAAACAGGAGTTTAATGATGAAGTGGTCCCACGATTGACCTAAACCCTATGAAAGTCATTAGTAATAATAATAGAGGTAAGGCAATTAATAAGGAAGAAGGAGAATAACTAGATGCATACTATGTAAAGCATTACTTTTTATTCATTTTTTTAATAAAAGATAGAATTCCTATAGTTGATAACTTTTACCTATTGCTCCCTCTCTCTCTCTCTCAACCAACCATTCACTCTATCTATCTGTTTATCTATCTTTCTACCTATCTCTCTATTTCTTACACTCATTTTCATTAAGTCGTTATAATGTGACAAGTGTAAATGTGAAAACATTTCGCTGTTATACATTTAATCACTGAATTATTCAGTCAGTACTAATTTAAACCAAACTTCATTAAACAGAAACCCAGTACATAATGTTGTTGATACAAAGTAACTATTCACTGTTTTACGAATTTATAAAATGAAACGGTTTGTCTAGCATTTATAATACGACAAATTGTGGACTATTTTAACCAGATTTCTGTTTGTGTGTGTGTGTGCTATTTGATAATATCTCAGAACCAATAATTAATGAATCTACTCATTATTATGCAAGGTGAAATGAGTTATTGATTGTAATTGTAATCAATATCACTTGGACATCTTTCACAATCATCTAGCTAACTAATAAACAGAATTAATTAATAAGTATTATAGTATCTAATATGATAGGTAATTAAAATTTCAAAAATACTTTTCCCATTAGTCGAACTCATGAAAGCAGATTCATTAATTGCATGCATCCAAGACCACACCGTAGATCTAGCACAAGACCTTCAGGTTTGACGGCGAGCGACAAACAATTTCCGATAAACCCTCATCCTAATAATAATAATTAAGGTTGTTATGTGCATTTTACAGACAATACGAATGTCGTGAATATAATATCACAATCAAAAGATGTTTCGTGACACATCATTAGGGGCAAACAAACTGTTCTTTATTAGGGATGTCTCATCCATAAGAAATTAGAACAGTTAGTTGACCAGTTAAAAGAAGACGTATTATTGATTAATCACATATATATGTATCTGAACAATATAGCTGAGTATCAACTTACGAAACTTATAATTACTGTCTAAACGAATGATTAAACAAAGTGAAAATTATAAGAAACAATATTAGCTAACAACTTCAACTAGTTATAGAAATATTGAAGTTATTACATTATCTCTACTAAATTATTACCTGAATTATTTGCACGAACAACAACACACAAATAAAATGGATTCACTTATCTTCATTTCTTAATATGAATCTCTACATTTATTCATTATAGTTTAACAACTGATCATTCCAACCTAAGAAACAACACACTCGTTAATACCTCTTTAATACTAGTTGACTTTTGAAATCATTCATCAAGTGTGCAGTCATCTAGTACAATATTCCAAACAGTGATGCACAATATACAGGAAATATTCATTCCTAATTGACATTTCCATTCTACTATTCACTCATGCAATTATCTCTCACTAAATTATGCTTTCGGTGAACTACATCGAGAAGGACGATTCAAGACAAGACAGCATAAATAAATTTCTAATCACTGACTCACAAAACAATTTAAACGATTGTCTGATAACTGACTTCGTCACATTACAAGCCTTCAAGTAACAAACAGTCATTCATAGTGTTTATGGTGATTGATCGGAGCTAGATGACAGAAAAGCATTGAACGAGATCTTGTGGAAGATGGCACTGGCCAACAAGTTCACTACAATCTTGAGGTAACTGATCTTCGTTATGGCATCCGAGTCCACGTCAGCTAAATTCAATGCCACAGACCTTCTCATGGACCTACTTCGACCAACATCCACCTTCTATGACACTGATATATTTACAATTCATTCATTATCAACTGGTGACTAATATCACACTTGTCTACTCCCTAATCTTCTCATCAATGAAATCACTCACATTAAGCTGCTTAATTTGCCAATTTCCCCTCACCGTACAAAATACCTGTGTACTGAATCCTTCACTGAACTGTAACCGATGTGTGTTATGGTTTACGATCGTCAATTCCAGTCACTGAACAGTTCTACCATATTCCGTAGGTCATTTATAGTGTCACAAATACCTACTTTCTCTGAATTCATTTCCAATCAACAGAATTGTCGTCCGTCATCTCTAGTGTGTGTTTTACCAGCAATCAATGTAGGTAGATGTATAAGTTGGAGCTGATTTTCATAGTGCACTGACATATTCTGGGGAATCATTAAATATCTGAAAGTGATTTGATGTTTTTTTCGTTAAACATAATATAGAAATAATTTCATAGGGTGTTGCTTTGCTTACACAAACTAATCAACGCAGTCCTTTTAATGGGTGTTAAGACATTCTAAACTCATTCATCAACTAGTAATCTTTATGAAGACCTCTACATTTAATGGGAATTATAGAATACAATAGACGGCTTGAATGGGGCTAGACGATTTGAAATTTGCAGATGACCTAGCTCATCCCTATCTATACACACCAACAAATGTATTTCAAGAAAACCAGTGTAGCAGAAGCCTCTGAATTAGTAGGCCTCAACATATACAAGGGAAAAACCAAGCTCCTTAAATACAACACAGAGAACACTAACACTATCATATTTGATGGAGAAACTCGGAAAGAGGTGGAAACTTTCACTTACATGGACAGCATCATCAATGAACAAGGAGAATCTGATTCAGACGTAAATGCAAGAATTGCGAAAGAAAGGGCGGTATTCCTACAGTTGAATAACATACAGAACTCAAAACAACTGTCAACCAATATCAAAGTCATAATCTTCAACACGAACGTCAAGGTAGTTCTACTCCAGGGAGGTAAAACTGGGAGAACTACGACAACCACCACCAAAAATGTACAAGTATTCATAAACAAATGTCTACTCAATATACCCATTATCCATCGGTCTGATACCACTGTGGCAGAGGACAAATCAGCTTCCAGCTGAGGAAGGAATTACGGAAAGACGTTGGAGGTGGATAGGATATACATTTTAAATATCACCAAACTGCATCACTAGGCAAACGCTAACTTGGAATCCTGAGGGGAAAATGAAAAGAGCAATACCACAGAACACACTGAGCCAGGAATCGGAAGCAGATATCAAAGGAATGAATAGCAACTGGAAACAGCTGGAAAGGATCGCCCAGGACAGAGTTCCAAATGGGCGACCTATGCTCCTTCACGAGGGACAACTAGTGTAAGTGAGTGAATAATCTTTTAAGAACAGATAGTTGTCGAAAATTATTGTTCTAATTAATAATGGTTGAGTGTTAGTCTTGAGTTTGAGCAAAAATTCTAGATGAAGCTCTAGATACATCTAAATAACAAACCCGAATGAATAAGACATTTAGCTTTAATTATTCCCATAAGCAAATATAATTTACTTGTGAATAAATGAGTATTTTACTTTTCTTGCAAACCGTATACTTGAAGGTTAATGATCTAGTGCATATCTTTGAGGACACTGTATTCACTGAGCTTGATGGTCCAGCCCTAAAGTTTATATGATTCTTTAGAACAACATCAACAGAACATGCCTCATAAAAATGTATACAGATAATCAAAATGTTGAAACGTTGACAAATACCTGGCTAAATGTTCATCTTGCTTTAATTCTATATCACGAACTTCTTTTTCCAATGTCTCAATCCGTGTACGAACTTGTTCCAATTCTTCAGTAGTATCCATTAAAACTGTATCAAATCGTTCAGCTTCATCTTTGTAAATTTCAAGAAATTTATGCAACGTTTCCACATTTCTCGGATCATAAGGATTAACGATCTAGTTTGAAAAAAAGGCACGTTGAAGGCAACAGATTTAGAAAACTATATATATGATAAATACCTACACTCGTTTAACTAAATTTATCATTTACAACAAGCAATACAATCGACTTGATCGTTATTAACTATTGTTAACAATATTGATAAAAAGAATTATGTAATCACTGTAGGTACCATCCAGGTCGAAATATACTAATTCATTCTCTTCAATATATAGCAAGTGATATAATTTAAAAAAGATTTATGGTGTATCTCAATCTAATAATTAAACATCTCAATGTTAGGTTGATTTATTTAATAGTTCTGTTTGTTAATGCCTATTTCATAAGTAAAATCATTTTCAATAAATCGATCCGAATCATGACCGATTATTGTTATTTACCAAATTGTAAAACCCCATTCATATATTTTTCAGAATTATGGTTATTTTATTCAGATTTCAACCGAAATGAAAAAAAGAACACAAATATTGATTAGAGTGAATTTACATTTCTATGACATTTCTTATTTTGTCTAGTTAGTTTGTTTTTCATTTCCATTAAGAATAATCATCAATTGATTCATTGAATCGCTGAATAACAGAAAAATACAATCATTATTTTAGGTGAGAATTCTTAAAAGAAAGTAGACAAAAACGCACAAAGAATTCAAGAAATTTGTCATCTTTTGATGTGGGCTGGGGTTTTGTGGGGATTTTTAGATTATATCTGTCATTGAGTAACATCATCTGAGATTCTATTGAAAGATGCAACCAATAGACAGGTATTTCATTCTAATATGGGACTCCTTAGTGATTTTATTGTTAATTAAGAAAGTTAAGGATAAATTTTTGAATAAACACTTTTTTTTCCCTTAGATAATCTTTAGAAAAATTGATAAATATCGCCATTGTTAAAGTGACAGTGAATTTTATTTCATGGATCGTCGTAGCAATCCGTTCGTGTTAACAATCTACATCTAAGAAGATAAATTTTAAACAGTTTGAACGTTTCACTTTACTTATAACATGTTTATATACAAACATTAAAGACTCAGTGTTAAACACAGATATGAGAAAATAACTATTCTTTTACATAGAACGATCTACTGCGTCTAAGTAACTTTTGATGTTCTTCTTGTTCAGTCTCCACCCTAAGCAATAACCATGTACTACTTTTCAGCTTATCATTTTTTTCAGAAAACTTTTATTTGCTCTAACTACTGTCTATTGTCACTGGTGAATTCAGATGAAGATGAATTAAGAAATTTTGGAATGAAAGCAATGAAAACTATCAACTGCACACAAATGAATTTGATTTGACGAGTGATACAAACACAAAGTAACTACACATAGAGGTGAATAGCAATTATGCGAAGAAATGTTTATTGTTGTTAAATATCTCCTTAGTAAATGCTTTATAGGCCAATGGTAAGTCAACTTCTGTTCTACAGGGAAATATGATGAATGTTATGTGTGTCTGTGTCCATGTTATTCCCAGTTCATTTGTATTACAAAACATACATAACTAAATATCTCACTTTTTACAGAGTTAGTCTGATAAAAAAGACAGGAATATACTACGCACTGGTGAACATGGTCTTGTAAAGAGAGTGAGAGTAATAAATTTATCGAAAAATAGACATGCATTTAACCAGCACAAAAAGTCATTACATAACATAATATGATAACATTTTGCTTTAAAGTTCCATTTCAGTTTGTCAATTACATTAATAAGATTCATCTTTATCACTGTCAAGTGAGTGCTATGAAAATATATATTAAATAAGCGTATAAATAGTCTGTAGAGATTGTTGAACTTTACAGTTTACATCATGAACTGACTTCAGTTGGATAACCATTGAAAACCAGGAAGCGATAGATAGTTGTTTCGTGCTAATGTTCAATTTCTCGATAGTACGCAGCAATGAATCGAAAACATAGTCTTCAGGTATTATAGAGAGCGATTAACGTTTAAACAACAAACGCATAGCCAGTCAAATCGGATGTAAGGCATTTACCGATAGAAGCAGAAAGTGACAGGGAAATATTGAAAGTTAATTGAAATCGGAAATGAAAGCCAAGAATGCCCACTCTGTGGTTTAAAGGTTAAGGATTCATGGCTAGATTTAAAGGTCTTGCGTTTAATTCCACATAAGGTGTATGTGAGCACCACGGAAGAGTCTTACACTAGAATGGAATAGCTGTGCAATGCATTCTGATTTTCAATGGTCATCTAACTAAGAGCAAACCATAATGTGATCCCTAATAATAAACAAGAATTTCTATTATAAACAATTGATTTTACTGATAGTCAGTAGTTAAAATTAACTATTCAGAACCATAATTAACATCATTATGCTTGTTAAATTATTTGAATCATTTCTAAATAAGTAGTCACTTGGCATCTAAATATCATTATCGGAACGTTATCGACATTACTAAAGAAGCTTAAATCTTGTATTTTTTGTCAATGGTGAATTTATTTTAAAATCCTATCCAGATGAGAAGAAATCTGTTATTACACAACAGTGTTACTACAAAGGTTATTTTATAATGTATTTAATAAAGCTTTGTATAAAGTTGAAATTACGGTCATATGTACAGTGATGATCAATTAATCCTTGTTCAAAAAAGGTGATCACACACACACAGTCTCATAAATAACTTGATTTAACCGTTCCCTTTAGTTGTAGTAAATTAGTTCATAAAAATTGGAATAGAAACTATCGAAACATGTGGTCAACAAATTTGTTGGTAATAGACAACTGAGTAGTTTCGACTAAAACGTAGTGCAGCTTCATTAATCTTTTGTTTACTGATCTGTGTAATGAAAATAACAATACTACCTGACAGTCCAAATTGACTGAATTGAAGTACAGATCCAAAGTACATCAAATTGGCTGAAGGTAAAATGCTTTCATCATTATACTATTTCTATTTTTATTCTACACTTTATAGATGATAGAAATCAGTAGTTGAAGAAATTACATTATATCAATAGATGATTGATAGGACCTTTTTCACTCTATTCTCTCTTATTCTAAATCTTAATCAGTTGTACTCTAAAGGTTATTAAAACTTATTTACTTCATGTTTCGTTTTAGTTGAGTTCTTTTTTCATGCTCGTCGTTATCGGTACATAACTTCTTTTTTTTATTACTTGACGTCAATTTTCGTCATCAATTCACAATCCAGATCAAATCAGATATTCAACCCATGGATTTGAAGTAATGAACAAGACCCATTGTATCATTGAAGAAGAAAGGAGGTAATTCAACGAAGAAAAATTTTCTTCGACGATTTCATTTACTCAAGCTGTACAACTGTATTTATAGTTAATTTTATTTGCTAAAATAGTGTTCTATGGTAAGATAGTATGATGCTAAATAATTAAAAAAAGTTTGAACTGGTATGTTGTCAAGAATTTAAAATCGGATATTGAAAGTGATTGTTATATCCAAACGAAAAATAAATGAATGAAAACTATTAAGAATTATTCATAGACTATTATGACATATATTCCTATTGAATAACGATTAATTAACTAGGTTATGTGAACATTCATATTCGTTTTATCATAGACTTTCATTTGACCTATCGGTTACTGCAATACGATTTACCATTCTTAACTTATTCCCAATTTATCAGTTACAGTATCCCACACTAACAGCCACTCTTGGCTTGATCTTGTATAATTGTTATTTTTCATTTTATAGTGTGATGACGACTGGTTCGCTTGTACATAAACTATGTATGTCTGAAATATACGATTCATATAGTGGAGGCTGAGATTACTTTCTGAACTCCAATAGGCACGGCTGGGCGAAAAGGACCAATAAAGATTCAGAGTTGACGTAAGGCAGTCAGTGCAAGTTGACGTGAAATTAGTTTAGCACAAGAAAAAGGTCATATAAGTCGATAATCTGATTGTCGATTTTGCCACGTGGTTATTGACAGGGTAAAGGTTATAACAATTATTGATGAAATTTTCACAGATTGAAATCATGAGTCAGTTGAAGCTAGACCACCATTGAAAACCTGGAAGCACTGGACGGCCGTTTCGTCCTAGTATGGGACTCCTCAGCAGTGCGCGTCCACGATCCCGCACCGAGCGGGGCTCGAACCCAGGACCTACTGGCTTCGCGCGCGAGCACTTAACCACTAGACCACTGAGCCGGCATCCAACGGTGTTAATGTCTAACTTCGACAGGTATCTACCTCAGCACAATGGGAGGTGGTCGCGCAATTTCATGGATTGGTTGATGTTAGACACTAACACCACTGGATGCCGGCTCAGTGGTCTAATGGTTAAGTGCTCGCGCGCGAAGCCAGTAGGTCCTGGGTTCGAGCCCCGCGTGGCGCGGGATCGTGGATGCGCACTGCTGAGGAGTCCCATACTAGAACGAAACGGCCGTCCAGTGCTTCCAGGTTTTCAATGGTGGTCTAGCTTCAACTAACTCATGATTTCAATCTGTGAAAATTTCTAAAAATCTCCACAAACCCCTTCTGATAATTATTGATGAGACTATAATTTACGGAGGACTTTTGAGCGACGCTTAAATGACCTTGAGAATGTCCACTCAATAACTTGGACTAACTGGGGTTTATAAAACAGTGTGAAGCATTCGAATTATGATTTTCAGTTGATGATTAGAGTTAAGAATTAAATTTAGTGTTTTCATCACCAACTGGCATCAGCCAAAATGCCAAAACGCTATTTATTATATCATTTTATATTTGATTAGTTCGTCCATAAATTATATTCTCGCTCAGTTATCTAATAATCCACTAGGGAAAAGTGGTAAAGTAAAGATAATTGTCCTAGTTAGCACCATTTGTAATAGGACTATAATTCATTGTGAATCTGGACCAAAAATGACATCATGCAACGAATTAAAATAAAATAAACTACTGATACTTTTGATAAACTATAAATCACATGAATCCTAAAGTTTTATTTCAGTGAATGATTTATTTATCATTTAATTCAGTACTATAAATCTGTTAACCTTTTTACTTAAAGTACAAAGACATTCATTATAATGGTTAAAGCTTGTCAATAAAAAAGCTGAACATTGGATATTGCAAAAGATTATTTAAATAAACAGACCCAGAACACATAATTCAAAATGTGTTCAAATGGCAAATATGAATGTATATTTATAACTAGGTTGAAATGTACAACACTAGCTAACAACTTCAACTAGTTATAGAAATATTGAAGTTATTACATTATCTCTACTAAATTATTACCTGAATTATTTGCACGAACAACAACACACAAATAAAATGGATTCACTTATCTTCATTTCTTAATATGAATCTCTACATTTATTCATTATAGTTTAACAACTGATCATTCCAACCTAAGAAACAACACACTCGTTAATACCTCTTTAATACTAGTTGACTTTTGAAATCATTCATCAAGTGTGCAGTCATCTAGTACAATATTCCAAACAGTGATGCACAATATACAGGAAATATTCATTCCTAATTGACATTTCCATTCTACTATTCACTCATGCAATTATCTCTCACTAAATTATGCTTTCGGTGAACTACATCGAGAAGGACGATTCAAGACAAGACAGCATAAATGAAAAACGATTTCGCCTTCTGTTTATTCATGTTTAGATACATTCACTCATTATCTTCCCTTGGATCTTGATTTTCAAAATATCCTATACTATTTGTTCTACGAATTCGTTCTTCTCTGTTGACTAATATTGTCTGTACCTAATGATTTTTACTACCATTGATAATGTTACCAGTTTTACTAATCTGGTATTTGTCTTAATGATTTTATCCTTCAGAGCTGATATGCTGTTGTGACTTGGAATATTGCGTATGTATGTCAGGTTTGATGTTACTCATTATTGACCGACTGAATAATATTTTTTGAGGAAACATCGAGATATGTATTCGTATTTGATTCGTCACCAATTGTTTGGTATTCATTCGATACCTAATCTGAAGATCATATCTGTTTTACGCTTAATTTGAAATCCTGCATACTATTGTTGTCTGGAAATGGGGATAAAATTTGAAAAATATTTCTTTACTTGTAAAATGGAAAGTTAAGGGAAAGTAACTTACATCATTTATACATTTATGTTCCACAGTCGTTGCCGCTATTTGAGCATTTGCTGGTGTTGTTCCTCCCGATAATGTTGCTCCTTGTGACGGGATATTATTTACTTGATCTGCAACACCTGTGTGATTTGGTAAATTATTCAATGTCACATGACCGTGATGATTACCGCCCAACAGAATCTCATCTTCACGACGTGACAAACTATCAGCAAATGTTTCAAGAACACAACGTTGTTTTTCTGTACGGATAATTCTATTGACTAGATTATCTGCACGACGACGACATTGGCGTAATTCAACCAATAGCTCATTAACACATTGTGACCAAGTATCTTCTTCACCAGATAATGATTTTGCTGAAAAGCTCACATCTAGAATAGTTGCAGCTCCACGAATTTCCACACTGTATTAGAAGAAAATGAAAAGATTTAAGAGAAGTGTAATTATTTGAATGATTAGTTATAAGTTTGTGATAATGTCGTGAAATAAAATTAAACAATCTGAACAAACCTCCATCGTAGTAATAGTCATAATCGCAGTAGGGATTATTTTAAGATACAACTTTCTGAGTTCTAGTGAGGAGCCGTAGCCAGTATAGTTCAGCCGTATTTGGTGTAAGACGATAATCCATTGATTATATTGGGAGATGGTTGCACATTATCGTGAGTTGACTGAAGTTACAAATGTAAATCATCAATGCTGGATCAATAGTCTAATGCTTAAGTCCTCACAGTAAGACCTGAAAGGTCTGGATTTAGTCATAATTTAGGTCAGCGATGAGTACATTTGAAGAGTTACACACTGCAATGAAATATCTGTCCAGCGCTTCCTGGTATTCAGTGATTATCTAACTAACATTATTCATTGATGTAAGCTATAAAGTGGTTTCATTTAAATTACAAACTTAATATGGCAAAATACATTATTATATTTTATATATATTTCAACTAAATTACACCATTTATCAAGGATAGAATTTGACAGTCATCTATTTTAGGAATTGGATTACCATAAGCGACAAATTTACTTGACTTATTATTAAGCCACTTTATTTTGTCTAGTCAAAAATATTTAAACAGATGAACAATTATTTATTGAAAAACTACTGGATGAAGTGAAGCACAAAACACGAAGTGAACATTTTTGGATAGTACATAGAGTTGTGATGCCATTTCATGAGTTTTGATAATTAGTAAAATATTCTAGTGACTGTAGTTTTAGTCCGCAGAGAAGAATAAAAACAATAGAGAATGGTTATATGGAAGATCACATTGTATTAAAGACCATACAATTAAGTTAATTTTTTAATATTTAGATCATATTACAAAGGTAGTAAGCGATTGTTGTAGCGAACGTTGAATTGAAAATTTGACATCACAAACTAACTGATATAGGTGAAGTATTATAAACCTGGAAATGTACTGGTGTAAGTATAAATAAAGCATTTCATACGAAGCATGAAAGATCTGGGTCCTATCGTTACCGGGTTACCAGAGGTGCACTGCTGAAGAGCCCCAGTCTAGGAAGAAACAAGTACCTAGCGTTTTCTGGTTTTCAGTGATTATCTAATTAAAGTGAGTTAGTGATGTAAAAGTGAGTTAAAGTAAACAATTAGTTCTCTTCTCGTTGATAATTTGATCACTTTGAAATAAGTGTTGTTATCAACTGAACATCATCAACATAATATTACAAATATCCAATAATTCACTATCAGGCTTGGAAGTATGGATGGATTATATTTTTAATAAGTTATGTGCATTGAAATCAAAGGGTCTAAATCCAGAGACTTCACAATTCAACCGTTTGATACATCTTTCTAGTGCAGTGAACTCTTATAATACCTTAATTACACCTGATTCGGTATTAGTTGGATTTGATGAAGTTCGTCAGTTAACTTGTTTAACAGATGGTATCATTCGGTTAGTAACACTTTGTCTATGTCTTTGTGCCGTTATTATCAAGTTTTTATGATCACGTACGCTTGGCTAAGTATGACAGCCTGTACATACATTTCTCTAACTGAAATCTTAGTTGCTTAAATCGCTCGATAACTCATACGCTTAGTAACATATATGGGCATCTTAAATACATTTATTAATTTGCATTTGTATTTCTGTTCGTATTTGCCTACAGTGCATTTGGATTTCGCAGCTGAGTTGTATATTTGTAAACTGTGGTCAACATTTCTTTTGCTTTCTGACACACCATTAAAAGTTATCGAATAACAGTTATCAGGACGACTGATATACGAAGAAATTCCACTACACTCTTACTATTAATAATAATTAAAAAGCTATGACACACAGAAACTTTGGGTTTAATAATAATGACACACATACTCAAATAACTTAATAGAACAACAGATTATTATACCAATAACTAGATTTCATTAATGTAGTTTACAGATAACCAGCTACATGAAATCCTATAGTATTCAATGTCAGAACATGGACAATAAGTAAGTTTCACGTCTGAGTAGAACAAGGATGTAATAAATTATCTCCACTAGTTTCTTAAATAATTAATCATTAATCCTGAATATCATTTTTAAAAATAGTTTCCATTTCTAATCTTCAGATATATATATATATATATATATATATATATATATATATATATATATATATATATATATATATATATAACATGAATACCGAATAGGTCATTAAGTCATACTGAGAGGTGTATAAATCGAATAACAAATGAAAAATATTTCTGCTGTTTCAACTGACATTTTCCCTTACACATCGATAAAATTAGGCATTCTAGCATAGTTTTTGGTTATGTGTGCATAAATATGGTAAATGTTGATTGGTATCTCCAAGTAACTATGTACTATAATAAATTTTAGTATTAAGATTGCCATTTTTCAATGATCTCTACAAATAACTTTATTTCATTGATATGATAAATAGTTGATCTGCATCGATTTTTATTAGGGGTCCACAAATATCCTTTGATAACGTCTTTATAAGCCTAGAAACAGGCTGAGAAAATATTATTAGATCAGAATTGAGTAAACGCTTCTCAGAAAAAGATCAAGGACTATTTGTCATGTTTTGTTTCTTCCAGAAGTTGATAGTAAATAAAGATAATCTAAAACCCTATATATATACTCTATTTCCGGTAAGTAGATTAACCATGGAGTAAACCTTTAACTCGTATTGATCATCTTTTCTTTATTCTTCAAATATAGAGGTGGTCTGGGAAAATAGAAGACGTTCAAGTTGAAGAACCTACGAATATCCTCTACTCTTACCGACCATGTTTCACAGCCATAAAGTAAGACGGAACGAACTGCTGCGCAGTAAACATGTCCTTTGGTTGGTGAACGGATATCTTGCCTACGCCATAAATGATGCAAGTTAGAAAACCTAGTCGAGCCTTCTGTATCCGTGCTGAGATTTCGTCACACACCAGACCATAAAGGCTGATGGGACTTCCAAAATAAGTGGAGCGGTCGACAAGCTCACCTACTTCACTACCTATCATTAGTTCAGGTGTCAATGCAACCCAATCCTGAATCAACATTTTGCATTTCGAGGGAGAGAATCTCATCCCGAACATGCTTGCATTGTTGCTTATGGTGGTCAGAAGACTGTGCATTTTGTCAGCGTCTTCACCAAATAGAACTATATCATCGGCATATTCTAAGTCAACAAGTGAATCTCCCGGTAAAAGTCCAACTCCTGTAAATTAAGATGAGGAAAACCATTAAACGGATATCTAAAACTTTTGATTTTAACGATGATTGTTTTACAAATGTTAATTCATAACATAGAACACCATCTCACTAACAAATTCTGATATGATAGTCACTAACCCTTATTTATTCTAATGAGAAAAGGAGTGATTAAATATTGATATACAATACAGTTTGTTTCTTTGCGAAAAATTGAACAGGCCATTTCTCATGTAAATAAATAAATATTTAAAAATATAAATACTATGTAACAAATAAAGTAACTTCCTAAACGACCTGATTTAATGATGACTGATTTTTTCGAAAAATGTAAGGAAAATAAAATCTACTGAGAAGTGAACTTACATCCGCAAAACATTTCAAATGACACTATACCCAAACATGTATAGATATTAATTCACTAGCCATACCAAAATAACTCATAATACCAACGACAATGAAGGTAAACTGTGTTAGAGAAAGGATAAAATATTATATTGAAGGCAAATTTATCAAATCCATGAACATTTATATGTTCATTTTGTGGTGTATGCTACTTATATTAACAGATATAAGTAATATATAACACTAATCAGAAGTGGACTGAATGGTAGCAGAGTATTGAGATTGAAATAAAATGAAGAAAGAAGAAAACTCAAAGCAGTCAAGATAATAACAGGAATGAAGGAACAACGAATTTTGTCAGGAACACTACAAAGATGTTGTGCAAATGATGTATTTAATGTATGATTTTTACATTTTACCAAGTGATAGTGTAATTTTGCGTTAAACAATAAATTGATCATCCCTATCAAGTATTCGTTCACTATAATATAATCAGTACCAAATAATTGTATTTATAATAAGTAGTTATGACGTAATCTGAAGTATCTTTATGTTGACAAATGTCCACTTATCAGTTAAAAGTTCAGTACACATAACAGATGTTTAGTTAACTTTTTTTTGTAACTTGAACAGATGAATACAATGCCTAAAAGTTAATGAACTTTTTTGTTTGTTTTGATATTTCATTCTTCTTTATCCTATTCTTACAGGACCAACTAAATTATCCAAAATTAGGGAATACAATATTCTGGATTAATAAAATTAGTTACTGAATAAAATAGCTGAATCTTATCATGAACAACTCAAACTAGAATATCGTCAAAAGCAATGGTAAATTGTAAAAATAATCAGTATGATGTAAAAGTATTAACATGTGTATTTTGTGAAAAATCAATCTCAGATGTAAGATTAAGTCTCATATACAACAAATTGATATGTTCCAATGAAATGGAATACAGTATAGTGGTTGTGAAGATTATTAAGTTTTTGATTGAGATCATGAACCGATTGATGTTAGACCACCTTTGGAAACCTGGAAACACTGGACGGTCGTTTCGTCCTATTGTGCGACTCCATCACCATTGGATGCCGGCTCAGTTTTCCAATAGGTTAAGCGTTCGCGCGCGAGACCGAAGGCCCTGGGTTTGAATACCGCAAGCGGGGTCGTGGACGTGCGCTGCTAAGGAGTCCCACAATAGGACGAAACGGCCGTCCGGTGCTTCCAGGTTTCCAAAGGTGATGGTCTAACATCAATCGGTTCATGATCTCAATCAAAAAGAAATGGAATACATTTATTTTGATGTGCTCATAGCAATGATGTGAACTATTTTAAAGAAGAATATTACTTATTAATTGCCTACTCATCTTTAATTAGT